AGACAGTTGTCAGAGGGTAGAATTGAACCTAGGCACTGGTGCTTCTACCTTCAATGTGTTTTGTTACAATTCTCAAAGAATTCAATAAGGCTTGTGATGCATGACCTGCCCCTCACACAGCCATGCTATCTGTCAGAATCCTCTCCAATAATTTGCCCACCACACAAGAAAGACTGACTGGTCTATAATTCCCAGTGGTATTCCTATTCCCTTTCTTGAACAAGGGAATAATATTTGCCACCCTCCAATCATCTGGCATTACTCCAGTGGACAGTGAGGATGCAAAGATCATCGCCAAAGGCGCAGCAATCTCTTCCCTCGCCTCCCGTAGTAACCTTGGGTATATCCTGTCTGGCCCAGGGGACTTATCTATCCTCATGCTTTTCAAAATTTCTAGCACATCCTCATTCCTAACATCAACCTGTTCGAGCATATCAGCCTGTTTCACGCTGTCCTCACAAACAACAAGGTCCCTCTCACTGGTGGATACTGAAGCTAAGTATTCATTAAGGACCTCCCCTATCTCCTCCAACTCCAGGCACAAGTTCCCTCCACTATCCCTGATCGGCCCTACCCCCACTCTGGTCATCCTCTTGTTCCTCACATCAGTATAGAATGCCTTGGGGTTTTCCTTAATCCTACCCACGAAGGCTTTTTCATGTCCCCTTCTAACTCTCCTAAGTCCACTCTTCAGTTTCTTCCTGGCTACCTTGTAACCCTCTAGAGCCCTGTCTGATCCTTGCTTCCTCAACCTTAAGTAAGCTTCCTTCTTCCTCTTGGCTATATGTTCCACATGTCTTGTCATCCAAGGTTCCTTCATCTTACCATCCCTTCCTTGCCTCAGTGGGACAACCCTATCCAGTACTTGTAGCAACTGGTCCCTAAACAACCTCCGCATTTCTGTTGTGCATTTCCCGGAGAACATCTGTTCCCAATTTATGCTCTGCAGGTCCTGCCTAATAGCATTGTAATTCCCCCTCCCCCAATTAGATACTTTTCCCGTTCCATCTGCTCCTATCTGTCTCCTTGACTATAGTAAAGGTCACGGAGTTGTGATCACTATCACTGAAATGCTCTCCCACCAAGGGATCTGACACCTGGCCTGGTTCGTTGCCAAGCACCAAATCCAAAATGGCCTCCCCTCTAGTCAGCCTATCTACATATTGAGTTAGAAATCCTTCCTGGACACACCTGAAAAAATCTGCTCCATCCAAACTATTTGCACTAAGGAGGTTCTAGTTGATATGAGGGAAGTTGAAGTCACCCATGTCAACAACCCCATTACTTCTGCACCTTTCCAAAATTTGGCTCCCAGTCTGTTCCTCAGTGTCTCTGTTACTATTGGTGGGTCTATAGAAAACTCCCAATAAAGTGACTCCTCCTTCCCTGTTTTTGATTTCCACCCATACTGACTCAGCAGGCAAACCCTCCTCAACAACCTCCCTTTCTGCAGCTGTGATACCATCCCTGATTAGCAATGCCACTCCCCCACCTCTTTTACCTCCCTCCCTATTTCTTTTGAAACATCTAAACCCTGGAACATCCAACAACTATTCCTGCCCCTGTGTTATCCAAATCTCCATAATGGCCACAACATTGTAGCTCTAAGTACTGATCCATGCTCTAAGTCCATCACCCTTATTCCTGACACTTCTTCCGTTAAAATAGACACACTTCAACCAGTCACACCGACTGCAACTTTGCCCTATCAACTGTCTGTTCTTCCTGTCAGACTCTCTGCGTGCTGTATCTTCCTGTACACCAGCTACTCCATGCTCTGATCTGGGTTTAAACCCTCCTGAAGAGCTCAAGCAAACCTCCTGCCCAGGATATTGGTGCCCCTCCAGTTCAGGTGCAACCTGTCCTTCTTGGACAATTCCCACCTTCCCCAGAAGGTATCCCAATGATCCACACAGCCCTCCTTCCTACACCAGCTCTGTAGCCATGTGTTCAGCTGCACTCACTCTCTATTCCTAGCCTCACTAGCCCATCGCATCGGTAGTAATCCGGAGATTACTACTTTGTTCGTCCTGCCTTTTAGCTTCCAACCTAACTCCCTATATTCACTTTGCAGGTCCTCATCCCTTTTCCTAGTTATGTCATTGGTACCGATGTGTACCACGACTTCTGGCTGCTCACCCTCCGTCCTAAGAATCCTGTCAACTTGATCTGAGACATCCCTGACCCTGGCACCCGGGAGGCAACATACCATCCGGGAGTCTCATTCGCGACCACAGAATCTCCTGTCTGTTCCCCTAACCATCCAATCTCCTATCACTATCACTCTCCTATTCCCCATTCCCTTCTGAGCCATGGCCACTATGGCTTTCCCCTAGTAGGTCATCCCCCCTCAACCTAATCTAAGTCATTAATGTATATTGTAAAAACGGGACTCCAGCACCGATCCCTGTGCCACTGCACTAGTTACAGGTTACTATTTTGAAAATGTCTGCATTATCCCAACTCTGTCTATGCTAATATGCTACCCCAACAGGAGGTATCACATTTTGGTAAAACAAACAAGGACAAGACTTATACAATTAAATGTTGGGACTCGGGTAGTGTTGTAGACCAGACAGACCTAGGGGTTCACGTGCATAATTCTTTGAAATTTGCATCATATGTAGATCGGGTGGATAAGAAGGCATTTAGCACATTTGCATTCATTACTTCGACCTTTGAGTATAGGAATTGGGATGTTAGGGATGTGAGGTTGTACAGGACGTTAGCGAGGCCTCTTCTGAAGTACTGTCCAGTTCTAGTCTCCCTGTTATAGGAGGAAAAATATTAAGCAGGGAAAGGGTTCAGAAGAGATTTACCAGGATGTTGCCGGGAATGGAGGATTTGAGTTATAAGCAGAAGCTGGATAGGCTGGGACCTTTTTCACTGAAGCATAGGAGTTTGACAGGTGACCTTATTGAGGTTTGTAAAATAATGAGGAGTCTGGATGAGGTGAATGGCAAGTTATTTTCCCCTCGGATGGGGGATTTCAAGACTAGGGGGCATATTTTTACGGTGAGAGGAGAAAGATTTATAAAAGACATAAGGGGCAATTGTTTTACACAGAGTGGTTGCTGTGTGGAATGAACTTCCAGAGGAAGTGGTTGATGCAGGTGCAGTTACCATGTTTAAAAAACATTTAGATAAGTACATGAATAAGAAATATTTGGAGGGATATGAGCCAAGTGTAGGCTGGTGGGACTAATTTAGTTTGGGATTATAGTCAGCATGGACTGATTGGACCGAAGGGCCTGTTTCCATGCTGTACGACTCTGCCTCTAGTCAGACACAATTTCCCTTTCATAAAGCCATGATGACTCTGCTTGAATAAGTTATTATTGTCCAAATATTCTGCTATTATTTCCTTAATTATCGATTCCAACATATTTCCAACAATAGACATAAGGCTAATCAACCCATACTTATCCACATTTTACCTCCCCTCTGCACCCCTTTTAGATAGAAGTTTCCTATTTTGAATAGAGATGACACATTAGCAAAGTTGCTGGAAAAGCTCAGCAGGTCTGGCAGCATCTGTGGAGGAGAAAACAGAGTTAACGTTTCGGGTCCGGTGACCATTCCTCAGAACTCAGTTCTGAAGAAGGGTCACTGGACTCAAAACAGTAACTCTGTTTTCTCCTCCACAGATGCTGCCAGACCTGCTGAGCTTTTCCAGCAACTTTGTTTTTGTTCCTGATTTACAGCATCCGCAGTTCTTTTGGTTTTTATGTCACATTAGCAGTTTTCCAATCCTCCAGAATCAAGGATCACAAGCAATGCATCCACTATATCTGTAGCTACCTCTTTTAGGATCCTAGGATGCAAGCCATCAGGAACAGGGGACTTATCGGCCTTTAGCCCCATTAGATTTGGATTTATTTAATATTGTCACTTATGCCTAGATAGGGTGAAAGTGTATAATGTCGCCATGTTCTGGCGCCAACTTGGATGAAGGAATAAATTACTAAATAAATTGTCATATGGTAAAATACTGAATAAATTAATATTAAATTGATATTGCTAAAATTGAAACAGCACCAAAAGCTCATCTTTCCCTCTCCATAGGCTTCAACTTTTGTGCTCCTCCTGTTGCTGCAGTCTGACATCACCCTGGCAATGTGCTCCTTACCTGCTGCCTCCAGCGGGCCATCACTTTACGAGTTAGAGATGGCGACACTGCATGGGTTCTGCACCTCCTCCAATGCTGGAGGATGATTGATGGGTCCTGGCTCCGAGTCGACTGACAGGGCCCTGGCTGGTCTTCTAGTGCCACCACTTGAGATTGAGCAGGGATGGAGATATGCAGGGCTCTGGTCTCCCAGAACCAAAAAAAAACAACCAAAGGAAACAAAAATAGTGACTGAGACAATGATGGACCATGTGGGGATGCAGCCAGACCCACCGCATGAACTGATGAGTGATCGAGCCCTACACTCAGGAACTGAACGCTACTCTCCACGCCATCATGTCAAACTGATTAGACATTTGCTTGTCCAATACTAATTTTTTAGTGATGGTACAGCAAATCTTTTATTAACTGGCATCTATAGGACCAAGAGTGTACAGGTTGATCAAGAGGTCCATATAATCAATGTAAAAACAAATACTAAGTAATAAAAACACTATGCATGGGGTACACACATCACTGTTATACTTTACTTACAGCATAAATCACTTAGATAGTAATGCAACTTTGCCTTAAATAAAACTTACCAGCAGAGAGCCTTCTCACTTGCATCCTCAACTGACTACTTGGACATTGCAGTAATACAGTAAATCTCCGGTATCTTAGCTACATAAAATTTTTGCCAGTTTATCGAGAGTGCTGGTTAAAACAAACTGTTCTGTACTTCAGATACTAACCTTACACTGTTCCTCATGAGAAAATTACTCCAATCACACACTGAAACACCTGCAGATACAACGCTTCAGCACCCCCAGATTATTCACTTACTGAGGGGGTGGTAGGGAAGAGGAGTTAAGGACCAGCGGTTACATACCTGAGGATTATGTTGGGCCAGATTTTCGATCTTTTGCCATATCTCTTCACGCTCCTTAAGTTTGAATTTCTCCCTGAAATATAAAAAGAAAAATGGTTGTTGGATTCTGTAATGTTAAGAGGACAAAAACAGGCGATTCCATAATTCACTCAGATCAATGCTCTCTTAATTTTTTTAAAAGGATAATGTAACAATTAAAAGTACAAATTGATATCACGATTCTGCTACGGATGAAAACTTTAACAAGAGTTTCCAAGCCCACCATCTTCCTTTGAAGTTTTAGAACATGTATGAAGTTCAAACCCATGCTCATGCTTATTTGGATTGCTTTGATGCTGCTACATCAGAGACTGAACCTTGAATTCTAAATGACACACTAATGAGGCCAATTCTTTTAAAATCTTCAGAAGCACAAATTTAAATTGGGGTAAACTAAATAACCAATGTTTGTGCCATTCTGTGGTCATTCTTGCCATGCCAACACACCCAAGGTGGTCTTCATTAACAAGTTAACAGTATCATTTGTTAAATGGAAAAATTTTTCCTCTCTTCACACACTGTCCTGTGCACAGCACTGTCTTCAAGGCAAACTACCTTGAGTCTGGACAGGGCCTGTACTTTAAAAGTAGTTACTGCTGATTACATAGAAAAGTAAGAGTTTCCCAAGGGTTATCAACCTGTGGTGCACCAGAGTTTAGTCAGTCCAGCACTAGGCAGAATTTAAGCAACTGCTGCAATGAGCCTAGGCAAAATGTTACTCATATAACTACCATCTTCACTGTGTTAACTAAAAATGTTTTAGTCTCAGTTGTTATATTTACTGTCCCGAAATTGAAAGTGCTTACATCACATGGTTCCAAAACACACCAGCAAGTACTCCAATCACAAAAAAAAATCAAAACAATCTTGGATTACCTATCCAGAAAGGCTAGTCATCATTCCTCCAACCTACACACATTGTGACACTAATTTCTCTCAGATTACAGAGCTTCCAGCAACACGCTCTGACCAGTAAATCATAAACACATATGCACATGTAAATAGAGATAGTAAGAACTGCCAGTGCTGGAGTCAGAGATAACAAAATGTGGAGCTGGAGGAATACAGCAGGCCAGCTGACATTTCGGGTTGGGACCCTTCTTCAGAAATGGGGGAGGGGGAAGGGAGCTCTGAAATAAATAGAGAGAGGAGGGGTGGGGCTGGGGAAGGTAGGTGGGATGGTGATAGGTGAGTGCAGGTAGGCTGTGGTGAGGATTGGCCAGTGAGGTGGGAGGAGCGGAGAGGTGGGACAGAAGATGGACAAGTTGTAAACAGCTGTGAAATTTGCTGATGACTTGCCTCTTTCAAGTGCAGTAAACAGTGAAGAAAATTGTAAAAAGGTTCAAGACAAACATATTAATAGAAATAGTGGAGCCAAGGCAAATGAAAGTCAATCCAGAGAGAAACAGATGTATGAGACACAATACATGCTAAATGGTACAATTATAAAAGGGTTAGAAGTGGAAGCAAACCTGGGGCTGTTTGTGCCCAAATCACTAAAGTGCCAGAGAAGGTTAAGCAGTTCATGAAACATAAGCTCCTGGACATGAATAAACAGAGGTACAGTACAGTTGGTGGAAGGATGAGAGTTTCTACAATGGTTTTCTGGCTGATTCTCAACCACAAGTTCTTAGGTAGATGAGGTAGTTGAACCTGGTGAACAGGAGTGCAACCCGTGGCGAGTGGTGTGTGGCAGTTCGTAAATATGTGAGATAGGTGATGTGAAGGAAGGAGGCTTTCAATTTTTAAAAATCCTTGCTGGTTTTCCTAACTACTTTCACAGATTGGTGAGGGCAGGAGTGGACTAAGGCCCAAAATGCTATGATTCTGCGTGGAGTTTCTTGTATGCAGAATTGAAGAGATTGAGAATGACTTGCAAATTTGGTAATACTGAAAGGTCTGATCCCCGAGTGAAATTTGGCTTGATAGACCAGTATTTTAATTCGTTTGCTGTGGTGGTCAAACACCAACCACATATACAACAGGTTGCTGATGTATTTCTAAGAGAAGAACAAAGTTTATTATACACAAACTATACTGCACTCTACAAGAACTACTTGAAACAGTTTTATTACAAGTACCAGAACTAAAGATTCAACCCTTTTACCCTCAACGATAACCTTACATATACTCCAACCTTGGTAAAGAATTCTGGGCTCCACTTTGAGGCTCTTTGTTTAACTGGAACAGCTGTCATTGGTTTTCTTTTTGGCAGCTTTCTGCAGTCACTCAATGCTATTTTCTTTCAGTGATTATGTGGAATGCCCAATGTGCATGTGCAAACGTGGCCTGCGACATCAGCTGGCCGCTACAGACCAAGCCACAGGGGAAACGTGCAGCAGTGACACTGTTCCATCTGTGTGCATTGATATCATCTGCACATGCACTGCTCATAAAGGGGCTGGGGGTCAGATCCCGGAAGGGGACAGGGACAAAGGGCAGTGCCGGGAGTGGACGTGAAAGAGACTTGCACCAGGAACAGAGCCAGCTCTGTTTATCCATTTTACATCTTTATTTTAATATACCTTTAGAAAAACTAAGAAGTTTTATAAATGTATACTCCCTGAAGAGCCATCTTTGAGACTGCCTGCTGTTTTCCATCACTTCCCAATGACATCAACTTTCTCTTTGCACCATCTGTGCGTACCGTTTATATGAACCACTTCAGTTAATGCCTCTTCTTGAGGCCCTTATACAAGATGCAACCTTAGCTCACTTATTATTTATGTGCATTCTTTAAGTTCATCACTTCAACAGCCTTCTGTTTCTGGAGTAAAATTAAACAAGGAACTATGAAAGGTGAAAATCTGAAACAAAAATGCAATTGGTGGAGAAACTAGGCAGGTCTGGCAGCATCTATGGAGAAAAAGGAGAGTTAACATTTCAGACCCAATGAGACCCCCTTCTTCAGAAGGGACAATAGCTAGGAAAAGGTGGGAAATGCACTGAAAACAATGGGTGAGGACAAAGGAATAAGCAATGGATGGAGATGGAGCCCAGAGGAGAGAAAGACCAGCAGATAAAGTGATAGATAATGGTAATCCAGGGAGGAAGGAGAGCTCCTCAAGAAATTCCTAGTCCCTTTCCTTGAATTTTGCATCAATATCCACTTTCTCCCAAAGGAAGACAGAAGCGACATACTCATTTAACAACCTACCAATGTTCTCTGGCTCCATAGACTGCTCCCTTGGCCCCAGGTATCCTCCTTCCCTTAATATTCTTATAGAAAATCTTGGGAGTCTCCCTAAATTAACAGGCAATGTTGTCTCATGCCCCATCTTCCTGCTTTTAATTGCTTTCTAAGATGTCCCCGCATTTTCCATAGCCCACGAGGGCACCTGATTTGCTCCATTTGCACCAGCTAAATGTCTTCCTTTTCCTTCTTATCCAGTCTTGGATGTTCCGCAACATCCAGGGTCCTCTGGGCTTATTGCTCCGACATTTCACCCTAATGTGGAGGTGCCAGTGTTGGATTAGGGTGGACAAGGTCAGAAATCACACATCACCAGGTTATAGTCCAACAGGTTTATTTGAAAACACAAGCTTTTGGAGCCTCACTCCTCCTTCAGGTGTTAGTGAGAGAGGTAGTTAAAGGATCACACTACTAATGAGGTGTATTAAACAAAATTAAGATGCTGTTAAATCTTTAATCTGTTAGAAGGGTTTAATTGATTAATACGTATATGTAAATCCAAATTCCTTTCAAGTCACTGTCCTGAGAGAACCAGAGGTTTTATCAGTGTAAGGAAAAGGTGACATTTTAGGTCTGACAATGCATGTTAGGTGTGAGGCCTTGCTTATAATCTGTTTGTGTTTTGGTTTGGAGTGAGACTGGTTTTATTCCTAACGTAGGAATTTATAAAATGCCATAATGACTAACTGTATATAAATTGTGTGTTCTTTGAACGAAATAGAATGTATCTGCAAATACAAATTCACCCCATAGATTCACGTGTGGGAGTGAGAGTGTGCGTGTTTGAGACAGAGTGAGTGCATGTATGTATGCATGCATATGTTTGTGTGTGCGCATGTTTGTAAGAATGTGAGGGAGTGTATAGTGTGGTGGGGTCACTTGTAGTGCGAAATGAACTCAAGATCATGGTTGAGGCCGTCCTTGTAGGTACCGAACTTGGCTATCAGCCTCTGCTCGGCGACTCTGCTTTGTTGTGTATCCTGAAGTCTGCCTTGGAGTACGTTTACCCGGAGATCCAAGGCCAAATGTCGTTGACTGCTGAAGTGTTCCCCACTGGGAGGGAACATCCCTGCGTGGTGATTGTTGTGCGAGTCCATTCATCCGTTGTCACAGTGTCTGCATGGTCTCGCCAATATACCGTGCCTCAGGGCATCCTTGCCTGCAGTGTACGAGATAGACAACGTTGGCCGAGTCACATGAGTATCTGCCGTGTACGCGGTGGGTGGTTTTCCCATGTGTGACGTTGTATCCATGAAGATCTGACATGTCTTGCAGAGGTTGCCATGGAAGGGTTGCGTAGTGTTGTGGTCGATGTTGCCCCGAAGGCTAGGTAGTTTGCTGTGAACAATGGTCTGTTTAAGGTTTGGTGGTCGTTTGAAGGTGAGAAGTGGAGGCGTGGGGAAGATCTTGGCGAGGTGCTCATCGTCTTCAATAATGTGTTGAAGGCTGCGAAGAACATTTCTCCGCTCCCGGAAGTACCGAATGACGAGGGTACCATATCGGACATCTCCCGTGTCTGCCCTCTGAGGAGGTCACTATGGTTTTTCGCTGTGACACGTCAGAACTGGCAATCGATGAGCTGAGCATCGTATCCTGTTCCTATGAGGGCATCCTTCAGGACAGTGAATTGAAAAGGAATTCGAGGATTTACAGATACATATTAGTCAATTGAAACCATGTAACTGATTAAAGATTTAACAGCATCTTAGGTTTGTTTAGTACATCCTCATTAATGGTGTGACCCTTTGATTTTTCTCTTATAAATTTTGTGTCTGATACTACCTCTCTCACTAAAAGCTGGAGGAGGAGCAAGGCTCCGAAACCTTGTGTTTTCAAATAAATCTGTGGAATATAACCTGCTGTTGTATGATTTCACCCTAAAAGGAAGATGTTGTACTTATACACTCTGCATTTCCATTCTGAAGGCTCCCCACTGTTCTGCTGTAGATTCCATAAGTAGCTATTTCCAATCTACTTCAGCTAGATCCAGTCTTATTTTAAACAAAATATGCCTACCCCCAACCCAACATTATTCTTTGCAGACCATCTTTTTTCTTTTTCACAACAAATTTAAATTGTACTGCACAGTGGTTGCTGTCACTGAAATGCTCTCCCACTGCCCCACAAGCATCTGTCCAGCTTCATTCTCCGGAATTAGATCCAGCAGTGCGCCATCCTATGTTAGGCCTTCTACGTGTTGACATAAAGAAGCTCTCCTGAACACAATTCAAGAAATAATACAGCACCACTTTCTCTTTTGCACCCTCCCATCTCATCTGAAGATCCTATAACCTGGAATGTTGAGTTGCTAGTCCTGTCCCTCCCTCAACCATGTCTCTAACGGCAATAACGTAATTCCATATGTCAAACCATGCCCTGAATAAATGTCTTGACTGTAACACTGCCAGCATTAAAGTACAGGCCATCCAGCCTCACCTTACTCCGAGTCTCAAGTCTCATCCACGAAGGAAGCTGGGAAGACTATATTTTGGTCTGAGTTTACAACCTTCTGTTGCTTGGTCTCCTGTGGAGAATCAACTGGAAGAATTTATGTCCATGACTGGTAAGCAAATCTACAGCTTCCTTTCTACCAACGTAAAGCTCAAATTTCTCCACAGAAAAGAAGTGGGTCCCCCACTGGCCAAAGGCACATTGTGTGGTATCCAGCCATGCAGGTAGGAAAGCAAATTGTGAAGAGGTCATAAAGAGTCTAAAAAGAGATGTAGATTGGTTAAGTGAGTAGTCAAAAATTTGCAGATGGCATATAATGAAGGAAAATGTGAAACTGTACACTTTGAAAGTATTTTTTAAAAGCGGCACATTATTAAAATTGGGAGAAACTTCAGAACTCAGTGGTACAGAGGGATCTGAGTTGTACACAGATACAGCAAGTGCTTAGGAATGCACAAGGAATATGGGATATAAAAGAAATGTTTTACTGCAGTATACAGGATATTGGTAGACACCTGCAGTACAGTTTTGGTCTTCTGATTTAAGAAGCAAAGTAATTGCATTAGAAGCAGTTCAAATAATGTTCATTCAAATGATTCGTGGGATTTTACTTAAGGGTTGAGCAAAGATTGGATGGTTGGAAGTTAGGAGAATGAGAGGCATTCTCACTGAAACTTGTAGGAGTTTGAGAAGACCTGACTGAGTGGACGCGAAAAGGATGTTTTCCCTTGTGGGAGAGACTCGAACTAGAAGACATAGGTGAAAAGAAATTTCTTCTCACAGGGCTATGGATCTGTGGAAATCTCTTCCCCAGACAATAGTCAAAGCTGTCTATATTCGAGGTTTTTGATCCGCACAGAGTCAAGCGTTATTGGGACTGGCAGGAAAGTAGAGTTAAAAACTCACAATTAGATGTGATCCTATTGAATGGCAGAGCAATCTCAAATGAGCTAAATAGCCCAATCCTACTCATATTCCTCATGATCTCATGTCATTATGTCAGCTTTTATTATAAGAGCTATCCCATCTCCATTCTATTCTGCCTGACTGTACAAAATGTGATGTTACCCTGGAACAGTTATTTCCCAACCTTTGATACCATGTCTGTGTTGGCAGTTAGGTCTAAACAATTTATCTGTGATGCTCAGTTATCTGTTTTTTCAGATGTGCCTCACGTATTGAGATGAGGTTTTAAACCACTATTCCTTCATGGATATGACTTTTTGATGCACTATTACTGTTAAACTCTGTTCCTTCCAGTTCCACTCAGCTTGCCTTTACACACATTAACACATAGTTTTCTATTGCATCAACTTATCTTTGAATTTCTAAATCTCCCTTCATCGGAACTCTTTCAGTGCTCTATTCTGACCATGCTTTCTGGCGCATTCATTCAACTGAACACAATGTTCTTTCTATAACGTTTTGGATAGAATGACAGTTTGCCACCTTGCACTATTGCCTTGTTCTTTCTTTTTAGCTTTCCAAACCTTTCCACACTTGAACCATCACTTCACTCTTTAGCATAAAGCACTTTGCTTAGTCTTACACATATGACACATCAGGACACTGGTCCCAGTGTGGTTCACTAAAGACTGTCCCCCAATGGTACAGTTCCTTCTTTTCTTGTACTGGTATCAATGTCAATCCCTTCTTCCTCCCGTGCACAGCAACGCATTGAAACCTGTGGAATTTTCTTACTTTTGCTTCTCTGCTTTGTACTGTTGAGTGCAATCATCAAAAAGCTTCTGATTCATCTCCATAAATAGCTTCAATGCATTGTAAATTAATCCATGGATTGTCCTAAAAAAAAAAAGGCATTTTAACATTAGGACAGCTTGTTACAGGTTTCATTCAAATTAATTCTAATCAGTGTCCATTTCTCTACATTTCACAAAGATTCTAACCATTGATAATGTTGACCAGGGATAAGCCATTTACTACACAATTTACCAGAATGTCACAGAAAATAACAACCAGCTACTCTACTCAGTTACTAAACCTCCAAACATTTTCCAAAGCCCACACTAATGAATTCAGAACCAAACAAGAATAGAAATTGGAGGAGAAAGTCAGGTCTGCACCTGGGGTGGAGAGATCAGTTTTGAAGATGGGGCACCTGGATTTGAAACTTTAATGCTTTTATCTCTCCACTGATGCTGCCTGCCCTACTGAGTTTCAGATCTCCAGTTCTTTGTTTTATACTAATGAATTCAGAAGTAGACTCTGAAGAATTAGAGCAACAGTTACTCTCACCCTACAAAGCAATTCAATCTCCCAGTCCCACACCTACTATCAGGACTCTTCAATGGGTGAACCAAGCATGCCTAAGTCAGATATCTTCCTGAAAAACTTCCCACATTATCGCCCACAAGTGTCCCAAGACATAGTGGACCCATCAGTGGTCATCTTTCAAATTTCTACAGACTGGAATAGTTCCTACAGATTAGAGGATTGCTAATGTAACCCCACAGTTTGAAAAAAACAGTAGGAAGAAAACGGTGAATTATAGACTGGTTTGCTTGAACTCAGGAGTGACGAAAATTTGGAGACAATTATAAAAGATGTATAGAAGGGCAAGGGGAAAGGGAAATAAACTATGCTTGACAAATTTACTGGAATTTTTTTTTTGAGGGTGTAACTAATAAAGTTGATACGGGGGAATCTAGTGTATGTGGCTGATTTAGACTCTCTGAAGCATTTTGATAAGGTCCCATGAGAGACCATAAGATTTAGAAGCAGAATTAGGTCATTTGGCCCATCGAGTCTGCTCTGCCATTTAATCTTGATTGATATTTCTCAACCCCATTTTCCTGCCTTCTCCCCATAACCCTTAATCCCCTTAGTAATCAAGAACCTAACACTTTAATGTTTTAGCGAAGATCTGTAGCTTGGTTTGTAGCTCAAATTGTTGGCTGGTTCGCCAAGCTGACTGGTTTTCGTGCAAATGTTTCACCCCCCCCCCCCCCGACTTCTAGGTGGCATTTTCAGTGCTGTCTAGCCTTCATTGTTTTGTTCCGTTCTGAATTTGTATGGTCCGGTCTGTTATGATGGGTAGCTCTGATTCTGGTTTTACTCCTTAGTGGTGTGTAGATGGGATCTATTTCAACATGTTTGAATATGGTACCAGTGGTTCAAAAACAGGCTTCTAAAGCAAAACCGGAAACAGAGCTACCCATCATAACCGACTGGACCATATAAATTCAGAATGGAACAGAACGTCAACACTTTAACGGAGGCTAGAAGGGGGATGAAACGTTTGACGAAAACAAGTCAGCTTGGAGAACCAACAACTCCACGTATCTCTGTCTTAAACACACTCAATGACTTGGCCTAGACAATATTGTATGGCAATCAGTTCTTCAGATTCACCACTCACTGGCTGAAGAAATTCCAAGATGTGAAATAAAAGCACACAAGATTGGCAATAATGTACTGACACGGATAAAGAACTGGTTGGCAGACAGGAACAAAACAGCATGAAGAAATGGGTCTTTTTCCAAGTGGTAGGCAGTGACTAGTGGGGATCTGCAGGGATCAGAGCTTGGACCCCAGCTATTCACAATATGTATTAATGATCTGGATGAGGGAACCAAATGTAATATCTCCAAGTTTGCAGAAAACACAAGCCTGGGTGGGAGGGTGAGCTGTGAGGAGAAAGCAGACATGCTTCAGTGTGATTTAACAAGTTGAGTGAGTGGGCACATGCATGGCAGATGAAGTATAATGTCAATAAGTGTGAGGTTACCTACTTTGGTAGCAAAGACAGGAGAAGGTGGATTATCTGAATGGTGATAGATTTGAAAATGAGGACGTGCAATAAAACCTGGGTGTTCTTGTACACCAATTGCTGAAAGTAAGCATGCACATACAGCAGGTGGGAAATGGTATGCCGGCCTTCACAGCAAGAGGATTCTAGTCCAGAAGCAGGGATGTCTTGCTGCAATTGCATAGGGAATTTGGGAGACCAAAATAGGGTACTGTGCGCAGTTTTGATCTCCTTACCTGAAGATGAATGTTCTGGCTATGGAGAGAGTACAACAATTCCTGTATGAAGAGACTGGTAGACAAACAGGAGGCTGGAAGAACACAGCAAGCCAGGCAGCATCTGGAGGAAAAGAGCAGTCAACGTTTCGGGTATTACCCTTCTTCAGGACTAGCTTCAGCCTCCTGTTTGTCTACCTTGGATTCCAGCATCTGTAGTATTTTTTGTCGCTATGAAGAGACTGGATTGGTTAGGAATATATTCACTGGACTTAAGAAAGGAGGTGGGGGGTTATCTCACAAAAACCTACAAAATTCTAATGGGCCGAGACAGAGGAAATGCAGGAACAAATGTTCCCGATAGCTGGGGATGGGTGGGGTCCAGAACCAGGGGTCACAGTCTCAAGATAGGGAGTCATTTAAGACTGACATGATTTCTTCAGTCAGAGAGTGATGAGTTATGGAATTCTCTGCCACAGAAAGTGGTCAAGACCAATACACTGAATGTTTTCAAGGAGTTAGACATAGTTTTTAGGCTTAAAGGATTCAAAAGGGATTAGAAGAAAGTAGGAACCGGATACTAAGTTGGATGATCAGGCATGATAATATTAAGGCATGATCAATATTGACTGGCAAGGCAGGATCAAAAGGCCTACTCCTGCTCCTATTTTCTCCTATTTAAGTTATAGAATCAGCTGCAAAACCGGGAATTGAAGACAGACTTACTTGTTCCAATGACTTTTAGAGTTTTTGTAGAGAGCAGGGAACATTATAGGGAGGATCTTGGCCGCGTTATCACTGATCAAACTCATGATATACTCATTGTTCCAATAATAGAGAGCACGCTCTGCCACCTGAAACAGGACAACTAACATCAGTACATTAAAAGTACTTACTTCACAGACATTTATTATACAATGGGCCACTTACATGGCTTTATTCAACAAACAGATTAGTGCAATTCCAAATCAAGCATTTTAGCCAAACAAAGGTCAAGTTCTTAGATAACACCTTTCAAACCTGTAATCACTTCCAGGACAAAGGCATCAGATACATGGGAACACCACCACCTACAAGTTCTCCTTCGAGCCATTCACCATCTTGACTTGGAACTATATTGCATTACATCAGTATCGCCGTTTCAAAATCCTGCAACTTCCTCTCCAGCACTGCTGTGGGTCTGCTATAGTGGTTTGATCTGACAGTTCACCACATCTCAAAAGCGTCTAGGGATGGTCAGAAAATGTTGGCCTAACCAGCGACGCTCCCATGGATGAATAGAAAAATGGCAACGATGGATAAAGACAGAAAAGATTCAGTATCATCTAAGGATCAGTCTAATAACCAACCACACACTGTACTCTAGATCACAGCCATGCTCTTCAGATCAATGTCTATTTTCATAGCAACAATGAAAAGGACAGGCTGGTGGGAAGAAAGCAGAACATACAAGTAACCCAATACTAGTGAGGAAATCAAAAAATTGGCTATTTTACTTTGCATCTATGTCCCTCTGGTAGAGTGGCAACCAGAATGGCATACAATGTGGCCTAATTAAAGTTTTGTAAAACTGTAACATAACTTGCCAACTTTTATATTTGATGCTCTGGCCTAAAGGGTTCAAAAGGGATTAGAAGAAAGTAGGAACTGGATACTAAGTTGGATGATCAGGCATGATAATATTAAGGCATGATCAGGGAACATTATAGGGAGGATCTTGGCCGCGTTATCACTGATCAAACTAGCATGCTGTACGTCTTCGTGATAAGCTATCCACCAATGTAACGTTTTCAGGAATCTGTGGACCTGTATGCCCAGATCCGTCTGTATGTCAATGCTCTTAAGGGTTCTGCCATTTATCGTATAATTTGCACCTGAATTTGATCTTCCAAAATGCATCACCTCGCATTTGTCCAGATTAAACTCCATCTGGCATTTCTCTGGCCAAATCTGCAATCTATCCATATCTCGCTGCACCCTTTGAAAATCCTCCTCACTATCTGCAACTCGGTCAATTTTGGTGTCATCTGCAAAATTACTAACTTACCTACATTTTCCTTCAGCTCACTTATGTATACAAACAACAAAGGTTCCAGCACTGATCCCTGCAGAATTGATCACCATTCTGAAAAGCACCGTTCCACCACTACTCTGTCATTGAGCCAACTCACCCTGGATCAGCCTGCCATGAGGTATCTTGCCAAATACCTTACTCAAGTCCATGTAGACAATATCCACCTGCCCTTTCCTCATCTATCATTCTTGTCACCTCCTCAAAAAACTCAAATCAAGTTGGTGAGACATGACCGTCCCTGCACAAACCCATGCTGCCTATCACTAACAAGTCCACTCACTTCTAAATGTGAACAAATCCTGGCTGTTGGTATCTTCTCCAACAGCTTCTCCACCACAGACATCGGGTTCACTGGCCTGTAATTACCTGGATTATCCGTTTCCCTTCTTAAACAAAGAGACAACATTGACCACTCTCCAGTCCTCTGGAACCTCGACTGAGGCCAAAGAGAATGCAAAGATATCCGTTAAGGCCCCAGCTATTTCTTCCTTTGCCTCCACAGTATCCTGGGATAGATCCCATCTGGCCCTGGGAACTCGTCTACCTTAATGTACTTCAAGAGACACCAAACACTTCCTCCTTCATTATGTTGACCTGCCCAAGATTATTCACACACCTTTCCCTGACCTCAACATCCCTCATGTCCATCCCTTTGAAGAATATCATTGTAAAGTGCTCATTAAGGATCTCACACATTTCATCTCGCTCTACACATAACCTCTGTCCATTATCCTTGAGTGGGCCTACTCTTTCCTTAGCTACCCTCTTGCTCCTAATATGCATAAAATGCCTTGGGATTCTCCTTAACATGGCTGGCCAAGAACATTTCATAAACCCTTTCAGTCTTCCTAACTCCCCAGTTGAGCTTCTTCCTACTTTCTCTCTATTCTTTAAGGACTTCATCTATTTTTAGTTGCCTAGACCTTAGGTATGCTTCTGTGTTTTTGACTAAGCTGATAATTTTCCCTGTCATCCAAAGTTCCCCGAATCCGGCCATTCCTGTCCTTCATTTTCACAGGAATGTGCCTGTCCTGCATTCTTCTGCATTCAATTCTGGTCTCCCTGCTATAGGAAAGATCTTGTTAAACTTGGAAGGGTTCATAAAAGATTTACAAAGATGTTGCCAGGGTTAGAGGGTTTGATCTGTGGGGGGAGGCTGAAATAGGCTGGGGATATTTTCCCTGGAGCTTTGGAGGCTGAAGGATAACCTTATAGAGGTTTATAAAATCATGAGGGGAATGGATAGGGTGAATAGCCAAGGTCTTTTCCCTAGGGTAGGAGAATCTAAAAGTAGAGGGCATAGGTTTAAGGTGAGGGGGGGATAGATAAAAGGGACCTAAGGGACAACATTTTCATAGAGGGCGGTGCATGTATGGAATGTGATGCCAGAGGAAGTGGTGGAGGCTGGTACAATTACAACATTTAAAAGGCATCTGGATGGATAGATGAATAGGAACGGTTCAGAATGATATGGACCAAAAGCTGGCAAATGGGACTAGATTAATATAGGATATCTGGTCAGCATGGACAAGTTGGACTGATGGGTCAGTTTCTATGCTACACATCCCTATTACTCAATGGTTCTTAAAAAACTCCCACATTTCACAGCAGAAGCATTGCTGGGAATAGCTGACTGCTGGGATTACCTGAAAGTGTGGACTGGAGACACATTTGGCAAGCTGTCGGAACAATGGCTCCATTACTTTCACAAATTCCGAAGGTTCGATGACATCGAGAATTTCCTCCAGTTCATTCAGAAACATCACTTCCTTTGGACTGTGTGTTTTTGGCCAGAACTTGAGCAAACCTACAATGACCTGAGGTAAAGACAAGGCGGATATAAGCCAGCTTTGCATTTTAGAGGCAATAGACTAGAAACGTGCGAGAAGTGTGTGCAGCAAATGCACGGCAGGTGGTTTGGCAACAGGATTATGCAGCTGATGGGGCAGTCACAAGATCCAGAACTAAATGAGTTCAACATTCCTCTCTCCCAAACATTACAGAACATACTTGAATATATTTCCAAAAACGATTCATGTGACTATCAAGTCAGTCATTGTGAGAACAAAAAGAAAACCTGAAAACCACTTCTCCCCAATCAGGCACAGTGAGCATATTTGGTTCAGGAAATTCAATTCAAAAGGGTGATTTCAAGAAGCAAAGTTAACAATGTATTTGAATGAATTTGTAATCAAGATTAGAAAGTAGTGCATCCCACAGTCAGAACTATATCAACAGGAACTTACCATTAGTAGCCAAGCTCCCGTAGTCAGAACTATTGTGGTCACTGGTGCTTCTGATTGAGTCAGATCTTTGACCCAGTGAGTGCCATGTTCAAAATCAGACATTTAAAAATAAATCCTTCCCGTCTTGACAAGATGGATTGCAGAACCACAATTAACAGCAGCAAAATTACAGGAGACAAAAGAACTTTCACTCCCCAATATGAAATCTAACCGAGCTTAATTATTAATGAGAAGCCTAAGATACAGAGAACATGCTCAAGAAATTGGTCTCTATGAGCAGAGATAGAGGCAGAAGGTGGGCATGTACAGAGAGGCAGTGAATGAGTGTGGGCACACATGGGGAAGGGGCTGCATGTGGAGGACTCAAAAACAGCAGTGAGCATGAATAACAGCCAAAGTTTTGCTTTCTATTGCCAGCAGAACCCTATCATCCTTAGCAGGAAACAAAATGGAGATTCAGGCACATTTTGAATTGAGCATACAAGACAAAAATCACCCAATATAGGGACACGGTGAAAAAAAAGTGACCAAAGAATAGATGTATGTTCCAGAACAGTTATGCAAGGCTTTGAAGATAGAATTTTGTACTCACTGGCTCTGTAAGGCTGCTGTCTTTCTCAAGGAACTGCACCACACAGTAGGCCAGCTGCAAAGACAGGCAGGAGGGCATTAAATATACATATGACACAGCTCCTGAGTGAAGTCCACAATAAACAATTTGAAGGCTTGGTGGTGCAGACATTAAGATTGTTGGTCTTGCACTTCTGGTAACTGGATTCAAACCTAGCAATAGCTCACATGTAAACAAAGTTTTTAATGTAGCAAAATATCTTAAGGCACTGCATGGGAGCATTTTAAACAAGAACATGCAAACTATTTAAGAAAAGGAGCTGGTCAGGCCTGCTCTATCATTTAATACAATCAGGGCTGATTCACTCTTTAACATCACTCTCCCGCACATTCCTCCTGCCCTTCAATGCCTTTCATGTTTAGAATCTGTTTCTTAAAAGATATTCAGTGACTTTGGTTTCACAGAATTACATGGTACAGAATTCCAAAGGTTTATCACCAACTGAAGCAAGTCCAAATATGTTCTCGGACGATAATCCCACAGTGCTGCAGGGATAAACAGTGAATTACTAGGTCTGCTCAAAGGCTATTCCATTTAGCAAGGTGATAGTACCACACAACTGGATGGAGTGATATCTCAACGTTAATGTGCGACTTTGTCTCCACATGCAGTGAAGAGGGAGCGAGAACGAGCGCAAGGGAGAGAGAGGCAAGCAGGCAGAGGGGAATCCCTAGAGTCTTTATTGTCTTTCGTGTTGTGTGTTTTCTGATTAAGAAGAGATGCAGTTCCAATTCTGAGTTATACCTTCAAAACAAGTGGCAAAAGTGATGAGTATCTAAGCATTAGCTGTATCTTATGATAAATGGATGGAGTCAGAGTAATACAGCATGGGCTGAAGGGGCCGTTTCCAACCTGTTCCTTGCTAGCCATGGTGCCCACTCAGCTAGTTGATAATTGCAAGTTGCTTTGAGTTCAGACAAGAAATCTAATAAAAGTAATTTAATCTGGATAACAGTACCAAATTATAAACAAACAATTTGCCATGTTGGTGACTGTATCAAAACATTAAAATGAGCGATGCAACTTAGCGACCATTGGAGTTTGATTAGCAGTGCATCCTTCCATCAGTTGAAATAATATTGCTGGCCCAGTTCAGTTTATGGGCAATGGTTTTGATGGTGAGCGATTTAATGATAATAATGCGATTAACATCAAGTGACAATGGTAATGGTCATTGCCTGGTGCTGCTCTTGCACTTTTTCCTGCCTTCAGTTGACTTAATAAGAGGAAATAAAAGCAGAACACAACCTTCAGCGACACGTACATGGAGGAAACAACTTGCAAAACACTGCTATTTAATAAGGAACAACACAAAGTTGAGGGGTGTTAAACCAGGTGAAGAAATTCCTTCAGAATCTCAAAGCAGCTAGAAGGTAAATATGCTCAGTTCTTCAACTCTAGGGAAAACACGGAGTATAGCACACTTTGGGCTATGGTCAATTAATGTTTGCAATCTGTTAACTACACACTGGTAATGAAGGTCAATACTCCTTTTACACTGTAGTTTTGGTTGTAGAAATGAAAGCCTGTTGAATCCCCACATTCAGTGTTCAGGTACCCAAATTCACTTTGTTCAAAAAGAACCTCGCCAGTACTCCCAGGTGTAGAGGTCCAACACTTCCAAAGCCTGTCCCCAGATCAACTCCAAGTCACAAATCAGTCTTTAGGGTCATCTTCTCACATTAAAGCATTTTTGCAGGACTGATTTTTCAGGAACAGGTCAAATATTCCTTACCTGTGGGTGGTAGACACTCAGACTTTTCACTTTGTGCAGGGGCAGTAATACTCTGATCAGGAACATTTTATGCTCTTCTTTCAAAGGCAATGCAAACCCATTGATGATACTGAACAAGGAAAGAGAAGAGTGTAAAGAAATTAAATCCTTGACAACTAACGAGAGTATTCAAAACTCCACTGTCTGTAAATTATTCAGCGTTTGACTCAATAGAATCATATTGAACTACTTTGGAAAATATGTGAAATACTAGTCCAAAAAAAAAAAAGGTTAATCTAGTGTATCTTCTAATGTCCTGGTGGCAGCATGATACAATGATAATGGACTTGTCAACTGATCATTATTCATTACTACTCTTAGGTTTGTTGTACATTCATTCAGAATATATGGAAAATGCCAGAGAAAAGTATTAGGAACTATATGTTCAAAGCTACCTGTTCCTTTCAATATGCTACGTCATATTAACCATATACAGGATATATAGAGATGAACTCCCACAACCAGATAATGAAGTTTAAAACTTTGTTTGCTGCATCATGTGGTGATTTTCACTCTCCATTTCTCCAAGATATTGATTCTCATGACAACTGCCAACAGCCGTCTATCACATTACCCAAGTAGCTGTGCTTTAGCCGAGACCAGCAGAAAACTGGCAATCAACTCGTCTTCACCTGTACACAGTCCCACGAGCAAAATCTTGGCCAATTTCCCCTCCCATTCTAAACAGTCAACAAACATTTCAAGGGCACCTAGGGGTGGGCAATAAATCCTAGCCCAGTGAGCAACACACACCTCTCACAAATGAATTAGAAATATTCTGCAGTTAACAAACAGTCCACAGCAGACCCAAACATGGAAAAATATAGCAAGTAAACAGAGGTTTATGCAGATGCAGTTTCACCCAAAATACGAGAAATATGGGAAGCAGGCCATTTTCATATATAGGTCTGGTTGGTCATTCAACCAAATCATTGTTGATGTAATTCATTTCTACCTTCTACCATTATACCCAAATTCCTCAATACTTAAAAAAAAAAATTAATGCTCACCTTAAACACACTCAACATCTCAATACACCCAGTGCACAAAGAATCGCAATGCCTTTAGTGAAGAAATGCATTCTAAGCTCAGAGAATTAACTTTAAATTGACTTGTGCAAACCTATTGGCAGTAATCAGAGCAATCTGTGCTACAGTGATTGAATACAATCCTACTCACCAGTTCTTCAAGACTTTGGAGTAAATAATCTAGGTTTAAACCTCAATGTAGTGTTAAGGACATGCTAAAGTTGATTGTGGCTGCTGCAGGGCAATCAAAGTCGCAGGATATCATTGCTTGAGTTCTTCATAGTGTCAAAACATAAACGTCTTCAGTTGCTTCATCAATGATCTTCCCTCCATCATATGGTACAAATCATGGATGCACTCAGGTCCATTCATGACTCCTTAGATACAGGATCAGTCTGTGCCCAGATCAAATGCAGCAAGATCTGGACAACATCCAGACTTGGGATGATGAGTGACAAATAACAGCTGTGCCACATAATTGCCAGGCACTGACCACCTTGAACATGAGAGAATCTAACCACTGTCCATTGACATTGAATGACCATAACCATCACTGAATCACATATTATGAGTATCTTGGGGGCTTATCAATGAACAGAAACAAAACTGGACAAACTAGATAAATATTTTGCCTAAAAGAGTATGTTAAAGATTGGGCATTGTCATGATAACTCCTGAGTCCCCAAAGCCTGCCCCTCATCTTCAAGGCATAAATCATCATGTCACTGGATGTTTTTCACTTGCCTGGGTGGGTGCAATGCCAAAAACAAAAACAATTCCAAACATAAATACAAATTAGCAGATGTAGGCTAATTCACTCTTTAGACTGTTCTACCATTCAATAAGATCTTGGCTGATCTGTATAATGTAATCTTTGATATCCTTGCCTAACAAGAATATATCTTGAAAAACATACAATGACACTCAACTCCACTGCCTTCTGAGGCAGAGTTCCAAAGTTCAAGAACCCTTGGAAAAGAATTCCCCTCATTTCTGCCCTGAAGGAGTGACTTCTAATTTAAAACGGAAAGTTGGAAACTATAGACCAGTTAGTTTAACTGGAGTCATTAGGAAATTATTAGAATCCATTACCAAAGTAATAACACAACATTTGGAAAGTCAAAGCACAATCCAGAATGAGCATGGTTTTATGAAGGACAAACCTTCTTCAAGTAATTTGCTAGAGTTTTTCAAAGATGCAACAAGCAAAGTGGTTAAGGTGGTCCTATAGATGTAGCATGTCTGGATTTCCAGAAGGCATGTGACAAGGTGCCACACAAGAGGTTAATACACAAGGTAACAGCATGTATGGTTACAGGTAATAGAAGATTGGCCAAACAACAGAAACCAGCAAGTGACGGTAAATATGTCTTTTTCTGGATGAGAAGATAGAAATGGAAAGGTGACATATGTACTATGATGTCCCAACTTTTAACAATCTATATTATTGACTTGGGTGCACTGATAGAAGGTACATTGGCCAAATTTGCAGATGACACTACAACAGGAAGGAAAATAAGTTGCAATGAAGAAATAAGAAATTTACAAATGGATATTGATAGATGAGGTGAATGGGCCAAAATGTGGCTGATGGAGATTAACTTGGATAAGTGAAGAATTATGCATTTCATTCAGAAGAATAGAAAGGCAACTTGCTATCTAAAGGAGAGAAACTTCAGTGTGCTTCAGTACAGAAGAATCTGAATGTCGTGCGTGAATTGCAAAAAACTAGTATGTGATACAGGAAGTCATAAAGAAGGCAGAGAGAGTTTGGCACTAATTGCCAAAGGAATACAGTATAAAAACAGGGATGTGTTGCTACAAGTGTACAAGGCATTCATGACTCCACACCTGCAGTACTGTGTACAGTTCTGATGCCCTCAAGGACGGATATAATTGCACCGAATGCAATTCAGAATAGATTCATTAGATTGCTTCCAAAGATGAGGGGTTTGTCATGAGAGATTGAGCAGTTTAGGCCAATACTCTCTGGATTCAGAAGAAAGAGAGGAGATCTAACTGAGGTACGTAGATGCTAAAGAGATTGACAAAGCAGATGTAGAGAGGATGCTTCCTTTTGTGGGGCAATCTAGAACGAGAAGTCATAGTTTTAGGATAATGGGTAGCAAATTTAAAACAGATGAGTGGAAATTACTTCGAAAAGAATTGTGAATCTGTGGAGTTCACTATCCCAGCATACAGTGGATGGTGAGACATTGAGTAAATTTGAAGAGGAGAGAGGCAGACTTTCGAATAGTATCGTGTTGAAGGGTTAACAAGAACAGGCAGGAAAGTGGAGTTGAGGCAGAGGTGAGATCAGCTATGATCGTATTGAATAGTGGAGCAGGTCGAGGGGATGAATTGTCTATCACTAACACTAGTTATTATGTTCTGCAGGGTAATAAATATTTGGAATTTGTTACTTCAGAGTTGTGGACTGGAAGTGTTTAATGAGGTGATGGCAGATAGATTTTTCAAATACCTGGGAGTTCATGACTACGATAAGATGGCATAAAAGAGTTGTCGAGGTCTGGACATGCAGCCATAATCTTGATAGGCTGAATGGACTACTCCTACATGCTTTCTTTCTTATGCAAAGGAAAACCCTACTTCAAATGATCAGAACCTAATTCCACATCAAAAGGCTTCATAATAAAATATATTAAAGACTGTGATGATATTATGGCTTTAAGATGTGTATTTTGTCCTTCTTTAAAAACTGAGGAGAGGTTGAGACAGTTACTGAGCGGTCTGTTCCAAACCAATAAAGTAAACCGCTTGAGAGGCCTTAGGTTTTTTTTAAACATTGGAACAATAGCAGTGTGAATAGTTGGACTCAGGCTCCAACAAAATCAGGGTTTTAGTTTAGCTTTCAGTAGCTGTTGGGGTTTTGAAGCTGCCATGTATCAATCCCTGTTACAGCAAAACACTTCTGTCTGTTTTCTGAACTCAGAGTTTTCTCTCTCTGCCAGAATTTTTTATTGGTGTTCTTTCCTCCTGGAATAAAGAAACATTGCATATGAAACATATTGCATATTTTACTGAATCTGCCTTCTCCAAGTGTGTATTTTAGGGAAGTTATTTGGAACAGTTGCTGTTTAGTAACTTAATCCATTCATGTTAAATTTTCCAATAGAATTCAAGTTATACCAATTCTTCTTTCTTTTGTTGCTGTTTCTCAACTGTAGAATAAGTGTGTTTTGCTTAAAGCTGACAAATGTAACTAAACGAATTACATCTGGAACATAGCACCTTACACTGGTCTTTAAACAAGACAAGATAAAAGCTGGGTCTAGCTTATCTCCTTAATATATTTGAAGGGGCCTTGGTCTGGTCCCTAACAAGAGTCAGAATGCAACACTAATTATGGAATCAGAACTCAAACATAGGAGTAACTTAGACCATCACACTGATTCCAGGCTTTTGAAAGAGCTACCGCATTGGTTTCACACTCTTGCACTTTCCAAAGGAACTTGTATTTTACATTCCTTTTCAACTATGTCGCCACTTCCCTATTAAAATGTATTATTAAATCTGGTTCCACCAGCTTTTCATGCAGATCATAACTTGCTGCATAATGTTTTTGGCTCTCATGTCACCTATCTTCTTCATCTATATTAAAATTTGCACCCAATGGCACTGATCTTCGTGCCACTCAAGCGATTTATCTTTATTGTATCAAACTCATTCAAAATGTTCAGCATCGCTAACAAATAGCCTTGAATCTTTTCTGCTTTAATGGGAATAATCGCAGCTTTTTTCACAAAACCGAAGTCCCTCTCCTTTGGAACCATCCTTGTAAGTCTCTTCTGTACCCTCTCCAATGCTTCAACATCCTTCCTGATGGATAGTGCTCTGGCTTGGTCACAGTACTGTAGCCAATGTCAAATTCACAATAGTGAACAGTTTAGTCCAATCCTTGTTGCACTCTGTTCATGAATGTATGAAGTCAAGAATTCAGAAGACCTCTGAACAGCATTCTAAACTTGTCCTGCTGTTTAAAAAGCATTTGTACACACAATTTTAAAGGAGAGGCAGAGCCTATCATTTAATTTACAAGGTCTCTACTCTTTCACCCTAACAAAACAAGTCAGTTCACACTCTGATGTTAAACTTCATCTGCCACACATTTG